ACCAAAACATAACGTTGGCATTCAGCATCAATTCTATTCTACCAAGAAATCATTTGTAAAGTTTTATAGAAATAAACACATAATGACAAGAAATCAATTGGACTTGAACTAGAGGCCTCATCGCACCTATTGTCCAACCAAAACTAAAATGACTTATTTTCCTTTCTACCTGCAGTAAATTGAATTAATATAGAGATGATAAAACATGGTGCTATACACATCCAAAAGAGGTTGTTATAGGGGTATTCGCACTATGTTTGAACCAAAAGATTTTAGTTTTAGCTTCAAAGCAATCATAGTTAAAAGGCAATAACAAAGTTCAAAGTGGCACATACAGAAAGCCCCCTTAACACTCAAATTTATTTGATTTGAGGAGTCTGCTCAATTATTAAATTATTATTATTCTGGTTTATTTGCATATAGTACTTGTAACTAAACATAAAATACAAGAATATACTTCAAATTCCACCAAATCTTCACCGACCTCCAAAGATCGCAATACCTAAATGAGCATAGCCCTTTTCATTGAACCTCACGGCCACTGCGACTGTTGCTGCCACTCCACCCGGATGTGCAGTCAAATTAGGATCATTCTTAAGCTTTTCACACATAATCCCTTCACTCATTCTGAAGCACTGCACCCAGTAGCATTCACGGAAGAATCATTCCCAAAAATTGCATTATCCGCAGCTAATTTAAAGGTGCCATTGAATATTGTTGATTTTGTTTGTTGAGGAGAGGAAGATGAAGAAGACAGGTTGAGAAGAGGACAGAGGTGGCGTGACTTTTGGCTCCCAAATAAGGTATAAGAGAGTTGATCTGATCAATCTGAAGCCACTGAAGAGGAAAAAACTTATTTAAATCTCAAAAATGTGGAAATTTATTAATCGATCAGCTTCAAGTTAATATGAAGAGCAGTCGGAAGACAATTATTGGATGGAACTGAAGGCCTCTGCTCTCTTCCCCTTTTACAGAGATTGTTGCAGCTTGTTTAGCGGCTGGGCTTATTTGTGTGTTCCTGTCATTGATTGTTTTTGTCAAGCCCGTCACATTTGCTCTCCTATTTACCTTTAGCAATATGCTGGCTATTGGAAGCACAATCTTCCTCATTGGACCACAGCAACAGCTAAGAATGATGCTTGATCCCGTTCGTGTCTATGCTACAACAATTTATGTGGGGCATGTTGTATTAGCTCTCATTTGTGCTCTTTTGGTCCATAGTAAGACTCTTAACAATAATTGCAATCATATGCAAGACATGTGCCCTTATTTAGTATAGTTTAAGTTACATATCTTTCGTTCGCATGGTTGTTTTCTTTTTGAGGAGACAGTGGTGGTGGTACAGGCTGCATTGGTGGTTGTGCTACTGTTGGTGGTGAGGTGGTTGGGGTAGGTCGTGGTGGTCGTGGTGATGTCGGTATTTTTAGATGATGACTTGTTGCTGGAATGTGGTGGTGGTGGTTCCGGCGATGGGGGTTCGGTTGTCATGTTGTTGGTAACAATTGTGAAGCGATGGTCACGAGTTTTGGTGGTGGTCACAAATTATTTGATCGTTTGTGATCATTAAATTCATTAATTTGTGATCGATAAACAATATGTGATGAAAAATATAAATTGTGACCAAAAAATAATTTGTGATCTAAAAAATTGCTCATTTATGACCGATAATTTGACAACTTGTAACGTCTACTAAGTTGTGACTTATAATGTTTGTGATTTGTGACCGATGAATACGTTATGACGTTTCAATTTTTTTATTCGTGATTGATGAACAAATTGTGATCGTAAAATAATTTGTGATCTATAAGATTTCTGATTTGTGATCGTAAATTAATTTGTGACTTCTAAAATTTTTGATTTGTGATCGATTAACAAATTGTGATATGTAAAATTTTTGAATTGTGACGTTTTAATTTTTGATTTTTGATCAATAAACAAATTGTGACCTATGAAATTTTTGAATTGTGAGCGTAAAATAATTTGTGACATCTAAGATTTGTGATTTGTGACCAATGAATAATATGTGACTTGTTAATTTGATGAATTTGTGATCGATAAATAAATTATGATGTAAAAATTTTTGATTTGTGACCGATAAACAAATTTTGACTTATAAATTTTTTGAATTTTGACCGTAAAATAATTTGTGACATATAAAAATTATGATTTGTGACCAAATATATAGAATTTATGACCAAATTATATGAAATAGTGATCTTATATTTAATTAATAAAATATATATTTAATTAATTGATTTATAAATAAAATTAAAAAAACTTTGAATTTTGAAATTTTAAACAAAATATCTTAAATTTAAAATTGGTAAAACTAAGGGAACAATACATAAATCAAGTTTCTAAGTATAACTATTTCAAAATTAAGGTTTGAGATTTTAAATTTCAAAAATCAGGTTTTCATTAAAATTTATTTATAATTTAATTAATTAATTATATATTTTATTAATAAATATATAAAGGTTACAGATCTATGCAATTTGGTCACAATTCAAAAATTTTAAGATCACTGGCTTTAGAGTATTATGAAAAATCAAATAAGGTTTTTAAGTATCACCATTTCAAAATTAAGGTTTGAGGTTTTAAATTTCAAAAATCAGGTTTTCATTAAAATTTATTTATGAATTAATTAATTAATTATATATTTTATTAATAAATATATAAATGTCACAAATCTATACAATTTAGTCACAATTCAAAAGTTTTAATGTCACAATTCAAAAATTTTATAGGTCCCAATTCTTTCATCAGTCACAAATTAAAAAATTAAAAGTCACAATTTGTTCATCGATTACAAATCACAAAATTTATAAGACACAATTTATTTTATGGTCACATATTACTTTTACTAGTCACAAATTAATAAATTTGTAGATCACACAATTTTTATTGGTCACAGTTTATTTTTTAATGGTCTCACACACCAACTAATTTATTGGTTACAATCAACAAATCATTTGTGATCATCACCAACGCAATACCACCGTCGTCTCCGCCGCTACCACCAACACCACAGAAATGCCGTCAACACCAACACCACGAAACCGTTGCCGCCGCCACTACCGCCAACATTGTCACAACAATCACCACCAATCCACAACCACCATCTCCATCACAGCCACCACCACAACTACCATCTCATCTAACTTCAACTCAACCACACCGCAACCACCATCTCATCTATCTTCATGTCAACCACACTGCAACCACCATCCTCTAAAAAATCCCCAAATCGTGATGCCGCACCACGACCACCACCACGAACATTACCATCATCACCCCCTAAAAAATCCCCAAGTAAAGGCACTGCACAGGAGAAACAAAATCAGAAACAAAAGAGTTGTAATTATCTTTATAATCTTGAATATATAGAAGCCTGAAGCCGATTGACAAGAGAAACAAAATCAGAAACAGTAGCCGGAGACGAAGAGACGGTGGTGGCATCTTGAGCGTCGAGCCACGACATCGGTTATGGGGTCTTCTGGTGGTGACGCTGCTGCACAGGCTGGTGCCACTATTGTTGAGAGAGAAGAGAGCACCGTACTACAGACACGGTAGCAGGAGGTGAAGAAGAGGTGGTGTCATCTTGAGCATCGAGCCGTGGCATCGGTGGTGGCGTCTGTGCGAAGGGCGACGCCGCTACTGTTGAGAGAGAAGGATAAGACGGGTGAGAGAAGGGAGAGAAGACAGAGAGGAGGGAGAGGATAGAGAGAGAAAAGATATGGAAAAATGAGTAGGGTTTGAAATTGCGTTGGATTGATTTAAATAAAAAATAATTTAAAAATTATTAATTAAAACCTGATTTATGTATTATTAAAGTTGATTCTGTATTTTTTAAAATGGAAACTTAAAAACGTGTGATGGTGTAATTTCCTCTAAAACTAAATCTCTTAGTTGTGAAATCTTCCCATTACACATTATAGTCCAAACCCATTAATAGCCCAATACGTATGGCCTGAGATAAAATGAGAGCCACGTTAGGCCCAAAGGCAGCCCACTCTACCTCTGTCTAGTCTTTTCGACACCTATAGTTCTAACCCATACTCGAACGTTAGGCCCAAAGGCAGCCCACTCTACCTCTGTCTAGTCTTTTCGACACCTATAGTTCTAACCCATACTCGAATCATTATCAGAACGCGATCCATTAAACATCTATAATATATTAAATATCACATCAAGTGATGATAAATTTTTGAACGATTCTAACTCCACTATAATTTAATTATTTCAATAATACATTACTTTTCCTTTTTCTATAATTCAATTATTTCAACAATATTTTACTTTTCATTTTCAATATGTATTTCGTATTTAACAATTTAGTTACCATCAATATATACGTACATTTGACAAATTCATTTCACATGTGTATTTTTATTAATGTATGAGTTCTCTATAATTAATTCTCAATTAATATTCACATTCATTGAATTAATATTTATCTTATATCAGTGTTAACAATTTTATAAAATTTAATTAGAATTTCACATTCAAGAATATATTTTATTATTGACGTCAATATATATTAATTAACATCCAATTTTTACTTAATTACAATTTAAATAAATAATTTAACATTTATTATCACGTATATATCTTTTGACATTTATTTTAAATTAATTAACGTTCAAATATCACTTCTACCACACTTACAAAAACATTTCATAGCAACGCTGACTATTTTCCTTAAAACAGTTTCGGCATCTTCCGGACACAAAACCCCTAATTCCAATTCAGTTAATAGACACATTTCGGGTACGTTATCCATTCCTCTTACGTCCCTCTCTCACTTACTCGCTCCTACACTATCCTCCATTCTTCATTCCATTTCGTTAATCTCACACGCATAATCGAACGTGTAAGGATTCTTCGTTGCTCGCACCGCACATTCGGAGGGTGGGATTCTATTTAGCAGAAAAATATAGTTTATCCTGAAACCACAATCTTTAGCGCCACGTGTACCTACTGCGATGCTTCTGGAGAATTACTTTTGGAACATCATTAAATGAAAACAGCTTCAACGGTCAAAACCACCCTACAGGATTCTGACACGTTTCAAATCAAAAGGTTTGATAAAAATCTTTTGTTTCTTTTAGGGATAGCTAGTTTTGTTATATTCGTAAATAAAAAAAAATTCGGGGACCGCGGTGGTTTTTTTTGGGGACGCGAGAGAGAGCTCAGAGAGGTAAAAAGGAGAATTCTCAGATAATTTGTTTTCTTGAGTTGGTTGTACGTTGGTCGTCGTGTTGTTGTACATTGAGAGGTCTTTTTGGTGTCGATTTGCGGGTAATAAGAATGGCGAAGGCTCAGCGGGGTGAGGTCGTGTCATTGGAGCTCCCTGCACCTGCCTCTTGGAAAAAATTGGTATTTTTTTTATATTCACTCTTAATTCTTCTTCATATACGAAATTTTGGAACTGTTCCCTGTAATTTGATAATAATTTTATCGCTAGGGCTTATGGTAGAGTAATACTGCTACTGTGATTCGTGTGAAGTTTTACATTTGAAAGTTTCTCGATTCTTTCAAATTTCAGTCATTTACTATTTTTTTCATAATGTTGATTGGAGAATACCATGGTTTAGATTTAAAGTAGAATTTTATAAATATGGTTAAATTTGCTTCATTAAGTAAATTATATGTAGGTACCTTAACTGTTGTCAGTGTTGTGTACCAATCTACTCTCTTGACTCTTGAGTAATGTGGTTGCCACTTATGGAATTAGTCTCCTTGAAAGATCTAACCTTTTAGTATTTTTAACCTTCTTCGGGTACATCGAGCCACTGAGGTTAGACAAGTGGTTATTGCTAGCCTAGGCCAGTCAACAGCATTGTTCTTTTTATTTTTCTATAGAAGTATTTTTACAGGAATGGAGGGTACCAAGATTTTACCTCCTATGAATATGAGACTTCAGCAATGCTCTGTGGGACTGTGAGGAATCTATTAGTGCCAAATGCCAATGAAGAATCCTTATGTCTCTAAATGTGGATTGGCTTGGTGGTTTGAGACTTGTGCAGTTAGTCAGTGTATAATGAAACCAGAATTCTCATATATAAGTTGATATTTCAAATACATTTATTGAATTTCTGGATGGAAAAAGGAATGTAGATGAATCAAATCCTACAGATATCATTAGGCATGTAAAAGACAGTCACATGAGTGCCATCTGAGAAATTTTTAATGCATTTCTGAGATTTCTCATGTGTGATATTGGTTATACATAATGAATGTACTAATATTTTGTTGTTATTATCTGTAAATTTTCCATCTGTATAGTATCTTTACACTGTTAAATAACCTTTTTTTTTTTGTAGTACATGCCAAAGAAGGGAACGCCAAGGAAGAATGAAGTATCATTTGTTGCTCCTACTGGAGAGGAAATTAATAACCGAAAACAGCTGGAGCAGTACTTGAAGTCTCATCCTGGAAATCCTGCAATATCAGAATTTGATTGGAGCACTGGTGAGACTCCAAGAAGATCATCAAGGATCAGTGAGAAGGCAAAGGCCACGCCTCCATCTAAAGAAAGTGAGTCGCCTAATAAACGGAGGAAGAAAGCATCAGGTACACGGAAAGACAAAGAGACGGACACTGGAAAAGAGGAATTGGAAGGGAAGAAAGAAGTTGAGAAACAAGATGAAGAAGTTGATGAGAACAAAGAACAAGAAAAACAAACTGATAATCTGATGGGTTCTGAGAAAGGCCCCAAGGAAAATCCTGGTATGGATGTTGAGATGCACGGTGATAACCAAGGGAAGAGTGTCATTGTTGAGAAAGGTGGGAATGATAAGGATGAACCTACCGACAAAACTAACGAGGCCGAAGATACTTCAAAGGTGGAAGAGAAGCCAGTTACTGGGGCTGCAGAAATTGGAAGCCGCTGATGGAGCTGAAAAAAAGATTCTTGGTGGTGCAGCACAAACTAACAGAATCCAGGATAACAGCAGGAAAACTGATTTGGCAGATCAAAAAAAGATTATGAAAGGGGATGTCGTGGAAAATGGCAAGGTGAACTTAATTGGGGCAACATTTGGCCCAGATCAGCCTTCATTCGCTGCTACTAGTTGAATTTACTGTTAATTTCTATCTTCTGTAGATCTCTGTCGCTTTACGCAATTCTTACATTGGCATATTTCGATGACTGTAATATTAAATGATGACTATTCTTGTCTTATTTTGAGGATATTCTGGACTGTTTATGACAATGTAGTTTTTGTTGTGCCTGTGTGGAAATGTAGATTGTTCTTGTAGACAGATAATGATGCTATTTGGTTAGCTCATATGTTCTTTGTTTGTTTATGCTCTCTGGGATCGTTCTTACTTAGAAGAGTGGACTCCCAACTCTGTTCATTGTTTCTCTTGAATAACTAGGAGGCAACATTGCAAGGGCTCAAAAAGTCAGTAAGGATGAAGGATAAACGTATTCGCAAGGGCTCCATCCATTCTCCAAGACCAAAGCAAGCAATAAAGCATTGGTAGTTGAATCTTTCCTTCGAAACTTCAGAAATGATGAAAGATAAACGTATATACTGAATAAAACAGTGGAATTTATGTTGTCAAAACTCAATAGCATGTTTGGTATGCAATACTAGGTACGACTAAATGGTGAGAGGTTGCTGATAGTAAGTTCAAGAGTTTTTTGGAGTTCAACCAGGTACATGCAAATTACACCCTTTTGTTTGTTCTTATTGGTAAGAGATTTTTAAGTGCATTTGTTTGGTTTTATCGATAAGTGAGATTTTTACAGTGAATAGTTTTTATTATGTGGTTGCATTTATATTTCTCTCTGCAATGTTATCTTAGTTATCTGAACCTTAATATCAAAATTCCTCAGCCTTACTGCCTGCAACATGGCTGCTAGTGCAGCGTCAACTGCTTCTCTTACTTCTTCCAAACAAATTGTATCCACTCCAAGTAACACTGCTAGTACCTCGCTTTCAACCCATGGTATGTTTTACAGTCTTCTGCTTCTGAATGCAACTGGATCCAGGTTTTCGTGGATATATCCTTTTTGGTTGTTTATTTACACTGAATTGGGGAAGTTTCCGTCTGTATATTGAAATAATTTTTAGACGGATTGGTCGTCAGAGAGAGGAGACTATAACTAATAAAATTTGAAAATGCCTAAATATTAGATTGTTTGAAAAGCAATAGACGTGAAGGGATGAGGAATTTTCAATTACTTGATCAAATAAGGATATCATATGAAGAAGTCCATGTACAAATGCACCTTCGTAGACCCGGGACTTCCGGTTATCATATTCTTCATTGGCAAAAGTCCTCTCGTAAAATGTTTAAGCAAAACATTTCAGAAAATTTTTCCATTACAGGCCATTGAAAACTGAAGCCGACATGGACATGAGGGGGTGTCGAAGTTGAAGTTTCAATAAATAAAATTGTCCCTTCTTTAACCATTTAGACTTTTAGATGAGTTAGTTCAATAGCTAATGCTTCTTCAGTTCTTCGTTAACATTCTAAAGAAAACATAATATGGGGCAGGAGATTGTATATAGGCTTTTGCTTTTAAATTGCGTTTCAAATGCAGCTGCTACTTAATGGGTGCTCCTCTGCGGAGCTTTCATTCATCTACGAGTAAATTAGTTAAGATTAGAGGAAAGGTCGTTTCTGCTGCTGCTCCAGTTGCAACGGCTCCATTTGAGGAAGTTAAAGAGTGAGTTTTTAACTCGTCTCTATTTGGTGCTCACAAAGAATTATTTTCTACAGTGAATTAATTTACAATATACCAAGCTTGATTTTAGAAAATTCCTTGACCAATGTTTCCAGGTATGTACTTCCGACATGGGCTGAATTCGACCTTGGAAGAGCTCCAGTCTACTGGAAAACTACGAATGGTCTTCCTCCTACTTCAGTAGGTGTAATATACAGCATAATGAATTTGAACATTCTTTTCATTTATTGAACTTTGCATCTGATTATGACAAAATTTGACAGGGAGAAAGGATGAAGCTATCTACAATCCAGCAGCTGGCAAACTGGTTCCCAATGAAGATTTCGGAATTGCTTTTAATGGTAATGTCTCACTTGCTGTCTTAACTGGGCAATTCGGAACTTCATGTTCTGTCGTGCATTTAGATAAGGATTGAAAATGTATCAAATAATAAATGACCTATTTCTATGAATTTGTTGATATTAATTACATGGCATTTCTGGATTGATTTTTATCAATAACTTGTGCTCATACTTTGGGAAACTGTGCAGTGTTTGTAGACAGTTGTGTATCTAGTGATGTACTATTTTATGGACGTTCATCAATTCATTGATTTGCAGGAGGTTTCACCCGCTGACCATGTGTGGAGATGAGCCAAGGGCGATACTGGAGAAAGTTTGAGGAAAGCTGATCCTCGTACTTACACAATCCAAATAGAATAATGCTACTTGTATATAAAAAGTTACAGAAAGTTTTATTGGTAGATGAGGTATGAAGAAGAGAGTGGAGAATTTTTTATTTTTTTTATTTGGTTGAAAAAATTCTGACCCAATCATCTCTCACCACATCATGCGTATGTACACCAATCTGTAAGTGGTGATGTAAATGTAGCACAACCAATCCAAATATGTATCCCAAAGCATGGTACCCCCATAACTAAATTTATTTCCACTTCTCGAGTAGAAATCTGTCTATGATGGCTTTGACATTTTAGTATTTGGCAGCAATAAGTTTGATATTCTCATTCACAAATAAAACTGATTGGGATGGTCCCTATAGATTGCAATTTCAAGTTCCAAAAGCTTGGCGAAATAAACCAATGGATTTCTTGAACGAGGTAACAATTGGTCAAATTGTTGATGTCTTTTGGGGCACTTGTTCAATCGAAAGAGTTTATAAGAGATCATCTGGTTTCAGGCTTGCAAATTCTATGATCAACCAATATTCTTACTTGTAGACTAGATCTTATGTTCTAAATATATTAAGAGATTGATGTGCTTGGATTTTTCTCAAGAAACATAAATTACGTGCACATGGCCTTGCACAGGATTTAAGTAAATCTTGGAATTATTGTGGTTCAATCTCAATGAAAATCTTGGGTTTGATATTTTTTTTACCTTCGGAAATAATCCAGGGCCCTGCACAGGATTTAAGTAAAGATGGTGCATGTGAAAGAGCAATCTTTCCCAGACACAAGTATCGTTGCCACTAGATATGCCATGATTGGTAACTATAAGTCGAAAGAGTAAGTGAACTTTTCGTCCATATATTACGAAAAATGCTATTCATCCCCAGTGGGGATGCATTCCCAATCTATGTGAATGTAAATGATTGATTAAATGATATGTGAAATTAAATGACTTATTTAATTTCACCTATCATTTAATGCCACATTAACGCCACATAGACTGGGGATGCATCCCCGGTGGAGATGAATAGCATTTCTCATATATTACGCCCCTTTTTGGCTCAATTTTCAAAAACTCATTTTTCATCGAACTTTTTTCCAACCACGTATTTTATAGGTTTTATATCATACCAAACAAGTTTGCAAGTATTGTTATCTCATAACTATCTACGTTCACTCTTCAGTTAGATATGAGTGAACTATATGAATTCTTTTTCGTCACGCCATTTAGTCCATCTTGTTGGTTTTTGATATCCAATAAATTCGGTGCGATGATTTTAAATGGTCGGATTAAATTTCACAGGCTTAGACCGGTGTGTGAATTAATTACCAACAATCAAGTCTAAAGACTCGACTCGAAAACAACATTGGCCATTAGAAATAGTTTAAAGAATTAATGTTGCTCATGACCATATATTTACCTAGTCCCCACTTTCCATATGTCTTGGCCCAATTGATTATACAACCTACACTGTATATAGTCTCCTTTTCATTGATTGAAACCATGTGTGATTTGCAATTGAGAGAAATCGTGTGCTTTGGGCTTTGGAAGAAAAATGTGGCTGCCTTATTACTTTTACATCCTTGTGCTTACCTTCCATTGGTTTTCTCCTTGCCTTTGCGGTTGAAAATCAACACCATTTATCTTGTCCTCTGTAGGTGAGATTGATAAGCAACCGAGGTGAATATATTGATTATGGATTGAGCTGTTTGGATTGGTTGTTTACTAGAAAGGTAACATGAAACTAAACCCAAAAATCACCGATTCGAAGATCTTGGAGCAATCTTCCACAACAACTTATATCAGAGCTTCAAGGTGATTGATTTTGGGCCAAAAATCGATCTAAAAGGTGGCTAAAAACGAGTATAAAGCAAAAAAAAAAAAAAAACTGCATAACCTATTATTTAGAAAGTATAATAAATAAAAGGGAGAGAAGATTATATTGCTTCCCAATAAGCGCTTGTTTGTAGCCATTATCTTGATTTTGGTAGTCTATATCATGAAATTCTAAAGAAAGCTTGTAATGCCTTGCCCAGTTTGCTTCTTTTGACTTTGCTCCACTTTTCATTGATTCTCCAAATTTTACCTTGCCCCTTTCAATGTAATGTAACTTGTCTCTTCCATAATATTCAAACTCAACTATATAGATTGCCACCTCCTGATTGGGCTTAATCAAAAAGTTATTTATTAGACAATCAATAAAGTTGAAAGAATGTGTGTTAATTCCATCTTCATTAATTGCTACTTCTTCGCTTGGTTCATTTCTTATTACTTTGTCATCCTACTTATGCTCTTTTTTAATAGTTGATATCTCATCGGGTAGAATTGTCGATTTATAATCTAAATACATGGACAATGGCAAGTTTTTCCTTTGAACTTTTTCAAGTGAATTATATCCTACTTTTTAAATTTGCTC